TACACACTAAAAATAAGATAGAATTTATTTAGAAATGAACAAACCGTAAACCAAGTGCAGTAAAAAAGGAATGATTAAACTGCTACAATGCGTCATTAAGCTAGAAATCTTTTACTCACCTTTAAAACAAAATATAAAGATAAAAACTGTTAAATTATACTTGATCATTTTAAAATATATATAATTCGAACGTTGTAGAGTATTCCCTCCAAAGAATCATTTGTTTTGTAAACAACAAAACACTTACTACGAAAATGGCGTACTATGTAGGCGGACTGCCCGTATGTTGGCGCATTCTGCAGATGGCGCTAAATTTAAATATATTGATTGAGTGCTTAGCTTATTTCTCTTATATCCCAAACACTTTTCTTTTGTTTCTTGCTTATTCAATTCAATTAAAAGATAAGTTTAACTCGTAAAATGCACATTGTAAATAGAGCACAATCGCAATGATTGAGCAATATATTTATTCATCACATATATTAGCACTTGATTTGCCTCTGTTCTAACCTTTCTTTTTTTCTTCAAGTGCCCTTCTTTTTTTTGGTTTTTCTACAGATTTTTTTTAACCGTTCAATGTGAAAAAAAATCAACAAAATACGAAGTCGAAAATATAGATATGAACACTAAAGAAAAATCCCATTTGCAAATTGCAATACAAACATTCTTAAGCTCGTCATTCAAGTGACGTTTCTAAGTTATCCAGAGAATATGTATCAGCTATTTACAAACGCATAATTCTCACCCCAAAAATTAACACAAAAATATATATCATATATACAAGGAAAAACTTAATTTGAACAAAATATATGAAAAAATATTCTATCTTCTCCAAGACCTATCCTCGTCTTCGTCCTCTTCGTCTTGGAGTAAATGTGCTGCGATAGCGCTCGCTTCTTCCTGAGAAACATTGACATTTCCTGTCGGACTTTTCAGCGCATTCGAATTTTCACTTGTTACAGGAGGGGGAGGAGCAACAGCTTCTTCAGCCAATTGAACCCAATTAAATGAAACAGACGTGCCGGTACTTAGCATTTGGGAAGCACTTTTAATTGCCTTTTCCGCTTCAGTTCGGGTGTTAAACTCAACAATAAATTCATTGCAATCTTCAGAATCCTCTATGTGCTGTACTTTCGCGCAATGCTGTTATGATTATATAGTAGATTGTTAAAAGGAGAATGCAAACAAAATTTCCCCCTACTTTCTCTATCCTTGCACCCCCCGCCATAAAAAAAGAGTCTGTAAAAACAACAAAAACAAAATACCTGGATAATTTTCAGTACTTTTTGCTTCTCGTGTTTCTCTCTACAACCAACTACCTGAACTCGTTTTGTTCGCTTATCTAAGGACCTTGTTGCTACAGATGGTGTTGCCAACCCCAAAGCTGCTGCCTAAAATAATTATCAGTTATTTTTAGTAAGTTCTGCCTCGATTAAATGATATCAATTTACCAACCTGAGACTTCAATTGTGCAAGTCTAATTCGTAAGGCATTCCTATCATCCAGTTCAGTTGTTTCTGCTTCCACTTCGTGCAACGCTTTTGATTTACTAGCATAAATAAGATCCAACTCTGTATCAAGTAATTTCCTTTTGGCATCCAACGGAGAGGATAAAACAGGAGTAGTTAGTAATTTTGGTTTTTTCGACCCATTTGCCTCGCTAACCACAATGTTTATTGGCGGCGGTCGTTTCTTATTTGAGGAATTTTTTTCGCTTTCCGCAGCTTTCTTTTTCGCGTCAATACCCTTTTCCAACTCTTCAGTCATTTTCGATATAGTTGACTGCAGCTGTTTAACCGTCTTTATAAGCTCATTCTTCTCTTCACCCTTTGGTGAACCGTCAATTTTTTGTAAAATCTTTTTTTGTTCTTGAATAAGCGACTCAATTAATGACCGTTTCTTCTTCTCGAAATCTAAAGATTTTTTCATCATTTCTTTCTGTTGCTGCTTAAGCATTTTGGTGGTAGGTTTCCTAATCAGGGTTCTTTTCGTCATTACAGCAGGTGTAACTGAATCTTGTTTATTGGACTTCTCCTCTTTAGTATCGTCGTTACTAGTATCTTCGTGCTTGTTCTCTACATCTTGATTATCAGATTTCTGCTTTCTATCAGCATCTTGAGGTAAAACAACTTTTGGAAAATCCTCTTTTTCTTGATCAGGAAGTGGACCAAGGCGATCTCTAACAGAACCTTTACCATTTCCCCCACCAACACCTCCTGCGTATTGAACGATAGAATTGTGCCAGAACACTTTAATAAATCTATTATTTAAGACAGGCATTGGCGATTTATATGCAGCTTCTGCCTGATCTCTAGTTCGAAAAGTAATAACAGCTGCAGATGGGTCATTTTCGTAGCAAACTTGAAGATTTTTAATTATACCAAATCTTGAAAAATGTTGGTTAAGTTTTAAAATATTATTTAAGTGAGCTGGTATTTTTCTAACTTCCAGAGAGGTTGACTGTTTTTGGTTTTCACCTAGTATCCGATTTCCCATTTTTCCTTCAGTGGGAATGTTGACTAAATTCGACTGATGCATTTTTTTAGGACTATTTTCATTGAAGGCTCGTAGGAAAGGGCGTGTATTATATGGGGGATGTTGTGATGGATCGAACATATTCGGAGCACCAAAGTGAGGTCCGATAGGAGGAGGGTGAGGAAACGATTGTGGAAGTATAGGAGGCGGAACAGGATGAGGAGGCGGTGGAGCCGCTGGCCTTTGTCCTTGGTAGCCCAAAACGCTAGTTAAGTTAACATCATCAACAACAACTGGATCGAATCCGTGATCGTAAGGACATTGATCTCCTCTAACACAAAACCCTTTTTCATCATAGTCCCTGCATCGATTTCTCTTTGAGTTTTTTCCTTCTACAGGCAGTGGATCAGGTCGGGGTGTTGAACTACGGGAATTTTTACCGGATGACCGAGCTCTCCGCCTAGGTGAACTGCCTAAACTTGATGATATTGAAGCAGGGCTCTTGCTGAGAGATCGTGAGCGAGTACGGCGTAGTGGCGATCGGGAATGTGACCTACGGGGTGAAAAGCTTCTTTTTTTGTTTCCATATCTATTGCTTCTGCCAAGACGATTTGCAAATCTATTAGGAGGAGACCAACGTATCGGTGACCGTCTATAGCGTGGTTGACGATTGTAGTCGGGGTGTCTTCCTGGCCTTGATCGTCTATCGTCCTCTCGAGGTCGATCGGTGGGTTTTCTATCATCCCGTTCATCATATCTCCTTCTAAAATTAGTAAAATAGAAATTATACAATCAAAATAAACAAGTTTATATAGAAAACTGTTAAATTTACCCTAAACGATCTTTCGCTGAGGGCCTTTTCGATGATTGGTTTTTGTCCAATGCACGTGCTCCACGATCATGTCCTTCGATCTATTAAAATGATAAATTAATGTAATTAAATAGAATGCAATATAATACAAATTATTTACAGTTTTTCCGTGTCTATCTTTGGGTAATTCTGGTACATATTCTTCTGCATTTACAACCGATCTGCTATCTACAATATTTGCTTTTATTGTACCATCTTCTTCATTATTATCAATATAAGTTTTATTTTCCAGAACATCAAATAACTTGTCTACAAATTGAGTTGTGGCTGATAAGTTAAAAAAAAAGAAAGAAAAACAATATTAATACTGCTCAAAATAGGAGACTGGCAATAACATTGTATTTGAAATTTACCATCGTTCAAAAACACTTCCAATTGTTCCTGGCACGAATTTCTTAATTCACTAGTTGGTTTATCCTTTTTGATTAGAGCCACTACATATTTCGCTAATGCAGACGGTTCACCGTCAACTCTATTTAAACAAATATAATGTTCTACACTTTAGTCTGAATAGATTAAACGCTTTTGGTATTGAAAATCGGCTACTTACATCGGCTTCAATGCTTTTATTAACCATTCTCTGAGAGATCCGTAATCATGAGTAGAAGTCATATTTTTCAATTGCGTTCGTGTAACGCTACAATACTAGACAACGGAATACCGAATGGCGATATATTCTTTAAGCGATATTCCTTAATATCGATATCGACGATTTATCCTATTTCCTGTGAGGACAATGCGCATGCGTATTAGTGGACATTACAATTTTCGCCCATCAGAACACTATTCTGTTTTTAGGCCTTGACGATTTAGTTCAGTTATATTTGAATTCAGGATTATAATTGGTTTTATTCATTTATAATAACCAAAATGGATATGACGTTTGCATAAGTGGTGAGCTTAAAACTTAAAATGCATCAATTGCACTTTAATATCTTTCAAATTCTCTTCGCTTTGTTCTACTTTCCTCTTCAATAATTCTTTTCCAAATTCTCACCACTTAATAAGCCTAACTAGTGTTTTATAAGGTTTTTATTTCAAACTTACTTAAATTTTATGATTGCAACATTTACATTTGCTGGAATTAATTCTATTTGTTTATAAAACTTGATCAAATTCAAAATTTGGACAATTTTTAAGATGGAATAAAACAAAATGTCTTACACTATCATTTACCACGAACGGCCAGAAATGATATTTGTAGTAAAAGATTAAGTGTATTCGAATCGAAAATAGTGCCCTGTTTATTTGCAAGATTATGAAAAGTGTGATTAAATGTTCTGCCTTCTTTTTGAAAGTATCGCATTCGACTGCGAATACAATACCACTCTAAATTTCTGACACAGTGTATTGTTGTCCTATTTTTCACCTGGCTCAATAATTCGCACACAAATTTTATTTTCAAATTCATGCCACAGAGAGGAAAGATCGCATTCGCAGTTGGTGGAAAAGTTGAAGTATTCGACAACAATAAGTGGTATACGGCCAAAATTGTAGCTGTTAACTCGGGGGAGGAAAAGATACTGGTGCATTTTGAAGGTTGGAACGAACGTTATGATAGTTGGTATGATATGGATAGCGACGAAATAAGATCGAGTAAATCGGAAAAATCTTCTGAAAAAAAACAAACCGATAAAAAATCTATAGAGTTTAAAGTTGGTGATTATGTCTTAGCTAAATGGATAGATTGCAGACGATATCCGGCTAAAATACAACAAGTAAACAATGATGGAACTTACCAAGTGCTTTTCGATGATGGTGTTAATATGACAGTCCAGGGAATAAATGTAAAAGCAATGGATTCAACCATGAGGAAACAATATGCTCGAAAGATCCCAACTAAGTCAAAGAGAAACGGGAAAACTATTTATAAGTGCCCTGAATGCTCCAAAGCTTTCCGTAAACAAGCTCTAGTTGATTCCCACATTAAGCATATTCACTCATCACAACAAACGATCGATAGATCAGCCAAGCAAGACTTAGGTAGTCCTGATCAAAAGAAAAGGAAAACAAATTTAAGTACCTGTTCCGAACTATCAGTTGGCAATGATGAAATAGCTAAGAGTGAGGAGCAAAGCGATGAAGATGACTATGAAGAAGAGGTTGTAAATTGTGCTTGTATGGATAATGAAGAAAATGGATTGATAATACAATGTGAAAGTTGTTTTTGTTGGCAACATACGGTTTGTAAAGATAAAAAAAGATTTATTTATGATCATTCCATTACAATTACAGAAAATAATCTTAATTCTTAATACAGGCTTGCTTAGGATATCAAGATATCCCTACTACTTACTATTGCTACGTTTGCCTAAATTGTCCACGGGTTAGAGAATCGCAACGATACGCTTACGACCAAGAATGGTTGAAGAAAGGACATTTCCCATCTTTAACAACCCCTAGTAAAGTTGCAGCTGCCCTACGTGCTTCAACAAATGAAATATCAGCAAATTTAATCAATATTGGAAATGCCATAACAGCAACAGACAGACAATGGTGCTCTTTACTAAAGAGAAAACTGAAAAAACCAGAAGAGAATATAGACAAATCAAAAGAAACTCCAAATGAAGAAAATCAAACTATAAACGATACAAAAAATGATACTTTACCAGTAAATGGTATTGTCGAAGGAGAAAAAGACAACGAAGAACAAACTGAACAAGAGGCTAATGAAGAAGTTTGCGATGAGAATAGGGATAAAATAATTAAGGAATTACAGAAAAATTGTGATTTACTAGATAATCAGCTCACGGAATTAGATAGTAGATTGGCTGTTATTGAGAAAGCTAGCGCTTCCAACAACAAATTTAACGTATTAAATTCATCAACAGATTCTTCTAGCTTAGTAAAACTGTTACAAAAGCACGTTGTAGACTTACGAATTTTAAAAAAATTGTCAGCAATTTGCTCTGGAGGTAAATTGTCTTAATGCGGAAAGTACTTATCTGCTTACTCTATCTATATTTATGTATATATTTATATATATATATATATATAATCAACTATAATTTTTTATGCATTATTTCAAAGTAATGATGTGTAAAATTGTCTTTAATCTTTGGGGTCTTGGCATTGTTCACAAGTTCCCATTTCCTCAACATATTCTTCGATTTGGATAGTGCATTCATGCATATTATATCGTTCTTTGAGCATTTTTCCAGCTTTATATAAAACTTTTTGCGCATTTATGCCTTTATCTGTAGATATAAATAGTGAATTGAAAATCAGATACAAAAAAAGCCTAACATTAATACAATTTTTCTTTAAACTATTAATAATAAAGCAAAAATGTATATCTACTCTATGTTTATGTTTCAGCGGTTTAGATACGTTATAGAATAATTAAATTTCTTTTCAATTAAGCTATTACCTAATGCCAGGTGGACAGATACGGCAGTTTTATTCATAGTCAAGGACCATATTCTCATGTTGTGCAGCTCACGAACTCCTTCAATTTCGCACAGACTTCTTTTAACATCATTAAAATCTATCCCATGAGGCATACCCTCCATTAAGACATTGAGGGTATCACGTAATATAGTTATTGTTGTAATAAGAACCAGAATAGAAAAAAAAAATGTACAAATTGGATCAGCAATTTTCCATTCAGGCTAAAAGAGAAAAGACGTATAGAGGTTGTTAAGCTAATTACTGAAGTAAGAGCGGTTATATACCTTATAGTAAATGATAAATGCTGCAATAAGAATGCCAATACTTTGAATGAAGTCACCAACGACGTGAATGAAGGCAGCTCTAACATTTATATTTTCTTTCTGGTAGGTATTACTACCTGAATCTGATGCTTCTAACGTAACAATATGTCGGTTTTCTGCGCCCTCTCCTGCTTCGGATAAAAGAGGAATCTTAGAAGCTGTCTCTGAATTATTTTTTTGTGCACTCTTTTTGATGAGCCCTCCATGACTATGACCGTGATGAGAATGTCCATGGCTGGCGTCGTGTAAAGAACATCCCATTCTGTAAAAAACAACGATCCCAAGGGATTGTAAGTTAGGGATAAAGGAATATATAATAATATATCTTATAGATGTAATTTAAAGTTATTTAGTATTACTACTTACATAATATTAAAAAATACTCCTAAACCTGACGTTATAAGCATCACATTAGCATCTATCTCATAATCTCCAGACATTACTCTTTGGACTGCCATATACACTAGAATGCCAGTAACTACCCAAATTAACAATACTGATATCAAAGCTCCCATTACCTCAGCTCTATACCAACCAAAACTCATTTTTTTCGTAGCTGGTCTAGATGCCATGAATATTGCTACAATAGATATCATAAAACTAGCAAAATCTGTAAGCAAATGAGCAGCATCTGTAGCAACTGCTAAACTGTTCGCTAATATTCCTCCGATAATTTCACATAGCATAAATATAAGACAAAGTATACTAGCTATAATCAGTTTCTTTCTTGCCTTTTTATCTAACAACTTTCCATTATTATTATCGTTATGACAGTGAGTACCATTTTCTGCATTGTGCGAATTCGTTGTAAAGTTTCTTGTAACGCTGCCGTAATTTTCAGAGCTGTTTAAAAAAGATAATTACTGCACACGGTCTTTGACATGTTCGTCTGCATTTGCCAATATCACCTAAATTCTACAGATTCAGCTGAATCTGTAACATGTGGCATCACCGTTCAATCTACGATATCAAATATATTAAGTTGGTTCCTTTAACCTTCAAGATACAATAGGTAACCCAGTTCAATATTTTATATTTAACTGACAATAAATATAAAAATTCAGGTATAGAACTTTTGCAATTTGCGACTGGGCAACCTGTTACATACCTCGATACTTTGGCATAAACAGAGTGATAAATTATGTAAATAGTTCATTTTAGGTGAAATACTTTATTTTAGTGAGATAAACATATGACTATTTCTCACACTGTACCTCCTTGTGTAGAGCAAACGATCATTTTCTCCGTCACTATTCCTGGTCGTACTTGATTGTGTATTCGTTTCCGAAAATGAGACGTCCGGGACTGATGACATATTAAATAATTACTACAAGTCACGCTTTGGCTCCTTGGTCAAAGGTAAAACTGAAACAAAGGGACGTGTGAATTTTAGAGCAGTGTGATTTTTTTGCACAAAGAACGTTTAGTTTTTTTTATTATCATTATATAAATTATAAGTGCCTTTTTTAATCCGTTGCACTAAATCATCAGCGCAAATTTAATCAACTAATTCAACTATCTCAGCTACACAATTACCTATAAGTTTCAATGAATTTTTGCAATCATTCGACTCTTTCACTGTTAGGTTCTGCTATTTTCTACGCATATATTGAGTATTTCTTCTCTACAATACGATATGTCAGTAAAGTTAATTGTATTCCGAGACACATACGCTATATACTCTGATTGTCTTAAGTACTTGAATATATCAATTACAAACTATTCTGTCCCTAATCAAACTTAATGTTACAGATACCTCTCTTTTGTTTGTAAAGAAATATTTCTATAAATTTCTCTTTTTCCGCTTTGAAAAATAACTCTTAGAATATTATAACAATGAATATTATAACAATAAATTCAATATTGAATCAATATTACAATCAGTTTTAATATACTATGTAAAAATGAAATGTTGGTGATCTAATTTTTCTTTTAGCCCATTTTATATTGTTAAGATACATTTGTTGATAGTATTGTAACTTTATGATAAAAGAAAACTGGATACTGTTCAACATCAAATTTTAACAGTCATGCCACGTGAACATTTTGGCGCTTTTCCGCCATTAAATACAGTTAAATTGTTGTCTGGTTTTTGCTACATAACTATTTATTATCGCTCATACAATTTTCCGATTAAATTACAAATATCACTTAAAAAAATTATTGCTATTTTCTTTTTGTATATAAATTGAGCTATTTCTACTGAACCCTTACTGAAAATGTTATAAAATATATATTATGTATTTGATAAAATAATTCTGATTTTTAAATCCTTGTATAGATGGCGTTGACTGTAAATTTCCATGGCAATATGCTAATTTTTGGCTGTGCATATAAAAGCGAGGCCGTCCATTTTCACTTCACCTTCTTGTCAGTAAACCACGGTGGTTGTTTGACAGGGTATTTTACATCGTTTTCAACGTTCAACTCGTTTTAAAAACCTTCAAAAACAAACTTATAATCATGGTAAGCAATAATATTTTAAAATATATTGTGAAAAATGTATATATATATAGATAAAAAGGAAAAATTAAATGTTGACGAAACCGTTGACCTAGATATTTCAAATTAGCGTTAGGCGTTAGGTAATATCTTGCTGATATTTCCTAATTTCTAATATAATTGACTAATAATACAAATAAATTTTATATTACTTAGTCACTATTTATATGTCGGTTGCAGGCAACTGCTCTTGAAGCGCTTTCTCATAATGAGTCATTGCCCATCCTAAGCTAATCGATTTTTTTCTTTTTCACAGCGTGAGTGCATTTCTATCCACGTCGGACAAGCCGGTGTTCAAATCGGAAACGCCTGTTGGGAGTTGTATTGCCTGGAGCATGGAATCCAACCGGATGGCCAAATGCCCAGCGATAAAACTATTGGAGGAGGAGATGATTCATTCAACACCTTTTTCTCCGAAACCGGAGCTGGAAAACACGTTCCCCGCGCCGTTTTCGTTGATTTAGAACCAACTGTTGTTGATGAAGTTAGAACTGGCACCTATCGTCAATTGTTCCATCCAGAACAATTGATCACTGGTAAGGAAGATGCCGCCAACAACTACGCCAGAGGACATTACACCATTGGAAAGGAAATCGTTGATTTGGTCCTTGACAGAATCCGTAAATTGGCTGATCAATGTACTGGTCTTCAAGGATTCCTAATCTTCCACTCTTTCGGTGGTGGAACTGGTTCTGGATTCACCTCCCTTTTGATGGAACGTCTATCGGTTGACTATGGAAAGAAGTCGAAGTTGGAGTTCGCTATCTACCCAGCTCCTCAAGTTTCAACCGCTGTTGTTGAACCCTACAACTGTAAGTTGTAATAGTAAATATATCTGATAAAGTCATTAAACGTTTTTTTTATTCTACAGCCATCCTTACTACACACACCACTCTGGAACACTCCGATTGCGCTTTTATGGTTGATAATGAAGCTATCTACGACATTTGTCGCAGAAACTTGGATATTGAGCGCCCAACTTACACAAATCTAAATCGTTTGATTGGCCAAATAGTATCATCTATCACGGCCTCTCTAAGATTTGACGGAGCTTTGAATGTGGATTTGACCGAGTTCCAAACTAACTTGGTACCATACCCAAGAATCCATTTCCCTCTCGCCACCTATGCTCCAGTCATTTCTGCCGAGAAAGCTTACCACGAACAGCTTTCTGTTGCTGAAATCACCAACGCTTGCTTTGAACCAGCAAACCAGATGGTTAAGTGTGATCCTCGTCATGGAAAATACATGGCCTGCTGCATGCTGTACAGAGGTGACGTTGTTCCCAAGGATGTCAACGCAGCTATTGCTACCATCAAGACCAAGAGAACGATCCAATTCGTAGATTGGTGTCCCACTGGATTCAAGGTTGGAATCAACTATCAACCACCTACCGTTGTACCAGGAGGTGATTTGGCTAAGGTACAGAGAGCTGTTTGCATGCTTTCCAATACCACTGCTATCGCCGAAGCCTGGGCTCGTCTTGACCACAAATTCGACTTGATGTACGCCAAGAGAGCCTTCGTGCACTGGTATGTAGGAGAAGGTATGGAAGAAGGAGAATTTTCCGAAGCTCGCGAAGATTTGGCCGCTTTGGAAAAAGATTACGAAGAAGTCGGTGTCGATTCAGTTGAAGAGGAAGGCGAAGGTGACGGAGAAGAGTATTAAACGCCCGTTTGAGTTTAATTATTTCACCGTCAAAATGTAATCGAATACAGCATGATGATAAAAAAATTTTAAATTACCGATTTGTTAATTATTTAACGAAAGAAAATCGAAATTTGTTTTAGCGCAGTACTGTTTATTTAATTATGAAAAAAAACAAAATGGTAGCTAGGAGAATATATAAACAAAAAAAAGCATACAAATTCTGCCTGGCGAAAGGGGTTGATTAATTAACTTGATAAATATCCTTTAGGGTTTTTTTTATGTAAACTACAGCGTGTTGTTTAGACGTATTTGATTACTATGTTTTCAAAACGAAGGTAATCACTCTTCCTTCTATTAGATATTATTTAAAGAGTGTCTAAAAATACTGAAATTTGCAAATCCAGTTGGTTTTGGGCGAAGTCCAATTCGGCCAGCTTTAATTTATCATCTTTATCTAACAAAGCTAACGTAGAAGAGCAATCAGCAAAGGTTAAATGCTATCACTGAATTCCAATAAAGTGAGTAATAGGAGGGGCATCTTTCATAAGTCGCTGGTAATCTTGCATAAATGCGAAAAATCTCTCTGAATAGTCACTTTCGTGATAGGGTAAATTATTCTCTTTCATATACTCCTTTACTAAGGGCTTTATGCGAAAGCACATTGAATCGGAGAGCTTGGGAAAGAGGTGATGCTCCACATGACAGTCGATTAGTGCCGGTCCGAATACTAGGTCTAATATAAGATTTTTGCGAAGATTTAGAACACCCGTAGACATCTGATAAACTCTTGGAGGCCTTGCCTCATTAGAGTACATAGGAAGGCCTATATGCTGGAATATGTTGATATGTATATAGGGAACAGTAAATACGCTTTTGCTGGCGAATATCAAGAATAAGCAAGCCGCAATGCTGTAGCCAAAATAGTATAGAGGAAGGAAATGAGCAACCAAGCCTAGGGTTGACCATAATAGATACTGGAGGACATAGCCAAACTTTCTCTCAACTATTAACCCGACCAAACCGAATACTGGTGTAAGAACTGGCAGTAGAAATGGAGCAAAAAGCATATATACAATTTTTGGCAGAGCTGGCACTTTCCATATACTTGAATCTCCCAAATCTATGATATTGGTGTGGGGATGATGCAACACGATATGAGCGTCGTAGACGAGACATGTTGGAAAATTGCCAAAGAATTGTACCAGAATATCGGCCAATAGTTTGTTAATTGACTTGCTTTGGGTGAGAGCTCCGTGGACGGCTAAATGACCAAATCTCTGCGATAGTCCGGCATAGGCGAACCCTCCTATCAGAGTTCCACCAATAATATTAACCAAATTCGAAGAGCATTGCATATAAATACAAGTTGGAAAGAGTAATAGCATAATTCCAATCATCTGCCATTCTCTTCCGTAGCGTTCATACCAAGACGCTGACCGTACTACCTTTTGAACCTTGTCGTTAAGCAAGGAAAAAGACGGCAAGGTTTTGACATTTACTCGATCATATACAATCTTATTCTTTGTTTTCTCGTCAACATCTCCATTGGATTTTTCACCTTTTTCTTTATTTCTAAAATACACCATCTTTCAGCCCTTTCAATCAAAAAATAAAAGGTTAAAATAACGATTTATCACCGTTCTTCCTACCTACCTCCTTTACCGCTTTTTGTTGTTATTGTCTTGTACACTTTAGTTTTCAATTTGTAAGATAGATGGCGTTAGCAAACAGTTTACAAAATTTTTTTCTACTACATTATGATAGCAGATTGACGATTGAACATATTTTCCAGTTGACGTTGTTTTGTACTAACAATTATTATTATTATTATTCTTTATACGTGTTTTCTGGTATTATTATGTAAAATAATATCAACATAAACAGTATATATATATATATATATGTATGTAATCTTTTTATCTAATTAGTACTGAATGATTATTGAGGTCAATTATGAAAAGTTGATTTTTCAAACCATATAAAAAAAGAGAGTAGGTCAAAGAGTAAAACAATACAAAACGTCTCAGTCCATTGGTCGATGATTTAGCGTTATAGAGTTTAGAAATGTAACTAAAGAAGAGAAGTAGTTAAAACAAACATCGGAACGTTTAAAAGGTCTTTTTTAAAGAAGTTATCATAAACATATAGGCCTTTTCCTTAGGGTATTTTTCTAACTGTTTTGAATGGAATAGAAACGAAGGTTTTAAACGGAAAGACGATGGAAAGTGTATGAGAGAGAGAGAGAGCGAGAGAAGAAGGGAAAAGAGAAAAGATTGAATGAGCAACAGCCGAATTATGATGAGGAGTACGTGTAGATAGTATCAACATGAAAATTCATTATAAATAGCTTTTTTTATGTAAAAGAAAAATTTTAAAGCGAAAAGTATAATTATTATAGAAAGAGAAAGGAACAAAGGGTGGAAGCGGCAAAGATACGCGCAACACGCGTGCCGTGTCCGTTAAATAGAGAGATATTCGCGAAGGTGCATATAATGTTAAACAAACTCGGGCAAAGTCGGTAAGAATAAAGAATAATCCGGTGAAAGCTTATAGCGAAGAAACGAGTCAAGCTCTTTTAAGTGAGATGACGTCAAAAAAGAGAGCTCCTCCTCTCACAATCGGGACAAGATCTTTAATTAAAGCAAATTGCCCATATGAATATTTTGTCTTGTTTGTTATTAAGAAGCTAATTCTCATTAACAGAATAAATAGATATAGAAATAATATCTTAAGATAGTTGAAACCACCAGATGGTGCTATGTTAAGTTTATTAAATAGAAGTTCTTTGATATTTAGATAAAATAGGTAATATAACATCATAATTTTCTTATATTATCACCCTATCTTCCTTTTATCCAGAATCAAAAAATTGATATACCAGTTTCTCCTTAATCTAATAGGTTTAATAAAGAGGATAGAAGAAAGAATGAGACGGAGAGAGAGAGAGAAAGAGGGAAAACAGAAATAAAAGATTTAATCAAGTACGAAGCTCCAACATGAATTAAAAAAATTTAGTTTCCGTCTCATTTACTTGCAGTTTCCGAGAGGTAGATTTTTTTTAATATCTCTATCCTCTTTTACTTATTCCATCTCTCTCTCTCTCTCTCTGTCTACCTATCTCCATTCTCTTTTACTTTTATAATAATTTTATTTACGAAAAATGAAACGTTGCGTTAAATAAAACAAACGTAGCGTTTTTTTTTTGTTTTTATACCGCATTTATTCTGCTTCTATGAAATGCTTTTTCGTATTTTGGAAAGAGAATATGAGAGAGTTGGAGAGAAAGAGAGACAGAGGAAAAAGATATCTCTACTATCTCTACGGACAAATGGAACTGGATTAGAGTTAAGACATCAGAAAGAGATAAATGTTTATAGTTACATTTTAGTTTTCTTTTTTCCCTTTGCTAATCGAAGCAAGTAAATAACAATTTTTTTGAATAATTGAATGACAAACAAGCCAAATAGAGACATCTAGAACATATTTTTATTCAAATAATATAGGAACTTTTTATCCTTCAAAGTATATATATGTACATGTATATATAAATTAATGTTAAGCACAGTGATACGCAACGTATAAGACATTGGAGAGAAGAAACATAATTTATGCAAATTAGGCTTATTTAGATATATATAAAAGTTTCTATGGATAGGGAAGAGAAAGAGAGAGATGTAGAGAATATTTATGTTGGATATGTTGGATATAGGAACATATAAAAACATTCACATAAAAAAATAAGACCGTTGACGCCTATATAGACAAGCAGACCTATAAACGCGACGTTCATCAAATGATACCGCAAAAGTGACTAGGCACGAAGCTGCACAAATGTCGTGTGATTAGAAAAAGAGAACGACATGAACGCCACCTACAAAGTCGAATTGGCATGCACTTTCATATGCCTGTTCAAATTTCCACTTTGCGAAAACCTGAGCAAACATAACTTGCACTGATAAGGTTTTTCTCCGGAATGAATTCGTAAGTGTTTTGTGAGCGTCGACGAATCCGAAAAAGCCTTCTTGCACAATCGGCATCTATAGGGTCTTTCGCCAGAATGCGTACGCATGTGCGTAGTAACAGACGAACTTTGCGAAAATCGACGTTCACAAACTGGGCATTTAAAAGGTTTTTCTCCAGAATGAGTTCTCATGTGAGCAGTTAGATTAGCCGCTTGAGAAAATGACTTACTACATGTAGAGCATCTAAACGGTTTTTCACCAGAATGAGTTCTCATATGCGTCTTTAAAGTCGATGGTCTAGCGTACGTTTTCCCACATATTCTACATAAATTAACTTTTCCCTCGTTTAAATGGGTCATTGGTCTGGGTCGTCTATTGGTGCCCGACGACGATGCGGAGGTGGGATAGAACTTATCGGATGGTCTAAAATACGAGGAGGTCGTGTATGAGGGTGCTTGGTAGGCGGCAGAGTGATGATGATGATGATGGTGGTGATAATACTGTTCAGCCCACGGTTGTTCACCTCCGCTTCCAACTCCAACATTCATAGACATTGAAACGTTTACCGACATTGCAGGGACGTTTTGAAAATCTGTTTGATTTACCGGTGACGGATGGTAATAGGGTGGAGGAGAGGGTGGGTGGACAACCGTATGATGCTTGAGAGAAAGGAGAGCGTCCGCAATATCCCTACCGGATTCCGTTTTAGGCGGAGGAGCGTAGGGGTTGAACGCAAAAAAATGATCCATTTCCGTTCCACTCGATGGGGCATAATCTGGAGGTCGCCAGACATCGGTGTAAGTCGGATTGTTTGGTATGTAAGATTGTTCCATTTCGATTCTAAAGTATCAAGAAAAAAATTATATAAAATTTCTCATTAATTATTTCAAAATGGCGGGAACTTGTTTTTTTTTGACAAACGTACGCAGATTAACGAATAATGAGTACTACTACGTTATATTACAAATTATATATGTAACATGTAGGATACTCTTCATCCTATAGCTATAAAAGGCCAAATAATAAATATATTTTAACCTACTTTTTCATTTCTTTATCCTTTAAAGTAACATAAAGAAAAAAAGAGAAAGACAAGAAGAGAAAAAGAAGGAATAAATTAATAACAAAGACAATCTTTATTTTGAAATTATCGTTGTTTTTCCTTTTACTTTTATCTTTACAAACTTACATAACAAATTTTAAAGAAAAAGCTAATTTTTCAACACTTTCAATGAAAATCAAGTTTTTCCTCAGGCGTTACACGGGCTACAATACGGTTTTCGCTTCTCTTTCATTCTCTCACTTACTTTTTATTGTTTTTATTTAAATATGTATCTATATATCTCTTTCTGTTCTTCTCTCTCTCACTCTCACTTTCCCTCAAACCCAGTCACTCTCTTTCTCTATTTCATTTTCATTCCTCTTTTCCTGTTTGCTCTTCTTCTCTCTCTCTCTCTCTCTCTCTCTCTCTCTCTCTCTCTCTCTCTCTCTCTCTCTCTACATTTGTTTTTTGTTCTCAAAGTTAAGTTATATCAGCTGAAAGATGAGTTATTAACAAAAAATAAAATATAGTTTACTTTTCTGACGATTCTCGTTGCCTAAGAGTTTTTTATGTCTTTATCGTTGGAGAGAGTGAGTACGTTTAAAGATGAATACATCGGAGCTTCTCTGCATATATCTGTATTCCAGTAGAACGTTTTTTTTTGCTTTGCTTTTTGTTTTATTTGCTCTGCGAATTTTTTTTTTTTACTTTAGATTTTTGCTTCTCTTTTGTTTTTTTTTCACTTTTAAGGAAGAAGTTTTATTCGTCGTTGTATCAAAATCATCTCTATTTTCGTATATAGGCAGTAATAAATGATTTTCACATCCTTTAAAGATTTAAAAGTCTCCAAAATGATAAAATTTCATGAGAAACGTATCGGAAAGTGCTTTTTTGATGATTTTTCTCAGAGAAAAGCGTCTCTAGGATTCTGGAACTTCACAAACTGGTACCTGAAATTTACGTCGCCAAGGCGAATCGAAAAACAACTCATGACAAACTGCGGATGAGCAACCCTACACAGTATTTTTATAGGCCTTATATAGAGCAGCAATAACTGGGCTTCACTTATCATAGAAAGTAAACGCGTATATAAGACATCATTCTTTTGGCTTTGCAACACAATTAGCAAAACCATACAAACAGGAATAAAAGCAGACTTACCTTGCTCTATTAACACGAACTGTCCAGGCGCAGGTGCAAACAAACTAATAGAAATAAGACGGAGGGGTGGGAACTCGAAGATGATTGGCCGAATAATTCAGTTATTTTTGTATGATTGACGGCTACTAAACAGTAGTAATCTAACAGCAAAGGGGCGTGTCAAATGGAGATGACGGACGGTCGACATCCTATTAGGATTAAGTAATATCCCGAAGGCGCGTTTCGCGACCGACCGAACGTTCGAGTGGCACGCGACACAAAGAGTATATTTATACAATACACTTCGCAAAACACATGACGTCATCACAAGCGTAGGACCGCCAAATCTGATGTGTCAGAGGAACTAAGGTGAAATTTGAGCAAAGATGACGGTCGACGCACGACGCAATTACTTCTTGTCACTTGTTTTTACTCATTTAGTTACGTATTCATACGGTACTCTACCGTATTTTGATACGGAAATTAATGTTGTAAAATAGGGAGGGGGAGGAGGAGAATGAAAAGAGAAAAAAAGCAAATAAAACGGTGTTAAATTACCCGAACGAAATATTACGCAATGACTCAACAACGATCCGCAAGGAAAACAGTTTTTTGTCATTTGCGCTTCGATTAGGCTTAAAGTATCTACAGGTGGATGATCTCAACAAGCTGCCAAACTTTACTGACACGACAGTGCCTGCTAGCATGAAATTTGAGATTCATCCCATGAATTAATCGTCCACCGTTTTTTGTTTCCAACCAGGTGCGTAGATCAAAAGCTAACTGATTAAGATACTATTTACAGATAAGACTCGTTCCCATTATTTTCCGCTTCCTTTGCAGTAGCCCTACCGCAACACCGACGATCGTGCCGCCGACAATCGAATGGTTAGGAAGGCAAGCCGAGATGAAAGGGAGTCGGTTGCATAACTTGCTCGTTCGCTTATAAAAATGTCCGTTGGCCGTTGTTTCGAGTAAATAGTCGAGTTACTTCAAAGAGACGGCTGGGCCGGAAGCGCGAAAGCGTCGCGTTATCTGATACTCATCCGCGTCGTCTAGAGTATTGATAAACTCTTGGATTAATAAGAATTATATGCTAGGATTATCGCGCGTAGCGTGGGAAGGCGACTATATAAAAATAAGACAACTATTCTTAATGATTTATTCATATATCTTAAAGATTTTAAATTTTATCCCGCCTCTCTCTCCTCCTTCTATCGTTACATTAGTTGCGTAACTACTCTTTACTCTTTTGATAAATTTTAGAGACGCCGTTTTCGTTAATCCTATTTAAATCTACACTTTACAAAATTACTTCTTTTGTTATTATATGTTTTATCGAAAATGTTTGCTTTTCTCTTTTGCACATAGATACTTTTCTTTCTTTCTTTTTCTTTAACAAATTTTAGACGCCTCTCATTTTTCCTCCGCAATTATTCTGTACACTTGTCCCGAGGATATAGAGAAACAGAGAGGGGACGACTGCAGCGAATGAACGACCGTTCAGTTAACAGGTTTAGATTACAATTGAGCTTAACCTTTGACAACCGTGAACGCATCACTTAATTATACGTGAAAGAGAGATGTATCGCTTGTATTGTTCAATCAATCAATTATTTCATTCGTCCATCAGTAAGAGGAGAGGAGAGGAGAGTATCTAAACAGAATTTCAAAGAGTAGAAACAGATTGAATGCGTGCGTAATACAGCTAAAAGTCACTCGACAAAATGTCACATATAGGTATTTAAGTTAAGTGTTCAAACAACGATGTTGTCCATTTTAAATGGGTTCAAGTAGTCGACTAAGAATTTCTTATTTTCCATCAACATTCCTTTTCTTTTCCATGGAATAAAAATCTCTCTCTCTCTTTTCTTCTCTCTTCACTTCATCATTAAAAAAAATTTAATTTAAAAGCAGAAGAAAGCCTCGGCTCAAATCGTAAAGTTATTAAATTAATTGTATTAGTAAAATTTCCAACCTGACCAGAAACCTCATCAAGGTGAATGAATCTACTTGATAAAACATTCATAGGTTTTCTTATCTTAAGCACAAAAATTAACAGACTATTTTTTTTAAATATAGTTTTATTACTCTATTTTTCTACTTTTTCCGTTTTTATATCGTCTCCTCTTCATTTTTGCTTGTTTGTTCTTGTTTGTATAAAGAGGTAAGAGGAACTTGATAAGTTGCCTTCTTTCTTTCTTTCGTTTATTGTTACCCTTATTCCTTTTGTTCTATTATATATCTATTTATTTAATTAATGAACTTATTACTGTATATATTATCAATATTGTGACTCTGAATGTCATATTTATTCGCTACATCGCTACCTTCTCCCTTCTGTTGTTGTCAGCGACATCTTCAGGAATTCGGCTTCGTTCAATGTATATTGTACACACTCTATTGGCTAATTGTGTAAATAAACATTTAGGGACAAATAGACTAGTTTCAAGTTTAATGGAGCAATAAAATAATCGTTAATAATCTGTAAACATGGATTTATTTGGTGATTTACCAGAACCTGGTAAAAATAATTTTAAAAAACACTTTTTTCAATTAGTTCTTAATATTCGTTTGTTAAGAGCAAAACAAGAACGACGAGAGAAAAGCTAAAAGAAGTCATGATGATAAAGTTTCGGAAGATGAGACTAAAGCAAAAAAGTCCCAAATGATTAGCATGACTGATTACAAAGGTATGATAACATTTAATTAGCCATTTAAATGTTTAATATATAAAGATATATTGTGTATTCTGATTTTATATATCAATTATTTATTTACAGACAATGAGATTATTGGTCTCCATTCATACGTCGCCGAACGCAAAGGAGAGAGGGACGAGATGCAAGATACGCACGTTAATATAGATAATTTTACATCGAATGTAGATAACTTGCATCATACTATGTGAGAATTCTTGCAATAACTTTCGTGATGATAAGATATAGGAAATTGAAGTGATATACTAAATATTCTAGTGTATTGTATTCTTCTACAGAAAACGGCTAGCTTATTACGGCGTTTACGACGGACACAATGGAAGTCGGGCTGCGAAGTATTGTGAGGAAAATATGCATGTAATTTTAGCTAAGAAATTAGCGAAGGGTAAAAGAGAAAGAATGAAAAGAAAAGAGAAAAATTATGTTAAAAAAGAATAATACAATCCTTTTTCAGCCAACTATTCAACCATAGATAAAGATATAAAAAAGTATTTCATAGAAACCTATAAGAAGGTAGACGACGCTTTTTTAGCAAAAGCATCTCAAACGTAAGCAACGAAATCTATAAATAAATCATATTAAACAATGCCTTTTATATGTCTGCTAACGAATTCGTTAAATCTTTTTGAACATCTTCTTCGGAGCAGGAAACCTTCGTGGAAAGATGGAAGCACCAGTACAAGCATTCTAATAGTTAATAATATTGCCTATGTTGCGTCCGTTGGGGATAGCAAGGTTAGGGGTTTTACTGATTTTTCTTAATGATGAAAATCAGCCAATGTTCTTTCTATATATATTTATATTAGTATACATTCATTTCCGCAGGCTGTACTATATAGATTCGACGAAAAGAAGAATAGCCTTACGGGACTAACGCTGACGACAGATCACAATCCTACATCGTATGAAGAGCGAATGAGAATACAGAAAGCCGGCGGCACTGTTAAAGATGGGCGAGTGCTTGGTTTGTATTTTATAATCAAGTATTTTGACATGTACTATGTATTTACGGTCGTTTTTAAACAATAACACTCTGTTCTTCTTTTTAAAGGCCATTTGGAAGTGTCAAGATCGATTGGTGATGGACAATATAAAAATCACGGAGTTTCTTGTATACCTGATGTAAAGAGATGCAATATAACTGAGACCGATAGGTTCTTAGTCATAGCCTGTGACGGTTTATGGAAAAGATTTTCTGTTCAAGAGATAAGCGAACTCTTACCATCGACCGTTGATCCTGCTGAAGATATCGATAAATTACTGGAAAGCTTATCAACGAAACTCGTCAATATGGCAATTAAAGGCTTGGTCGCTGATAATGTTACAATTTGTATCGTAGCTTTATTAAAACGCCCTTTAACGCCTCAATAAATATTACAATAACATTTTAACAAAGTCATTTTTTTTAAAAAAAAATAAAACAAGTCTTTTTTTCTATACAACAAAAAAAAAACAAGCGCAAAAAATCCTTTTCTTTCTTTTTTCCCAGTTTTCATTTTGATAATTAAGAAATGTAAGAATCTCATAATTCTTCATTCAGAGAATGAAACAATTCAACTATTCAAAAAGTGTAAATATTTTAGGTATATAATAAGTTGTTGTTGTAACAGTAGCAACTGGTGGAGAGGAGGAGAAGAATGGGGGAAAGGAGAGTAAGATGATTATAGATTTAATTATATTATATGAGGAATTATTATTGTTGTCTTTTTTTCTTAAAAATTTTGAATCTTTCGCTTCTTCGCATTGATAGCAGCAATTATCGGTTGCTGTTTCAATACGTATCTCTGGTGTAGTTCGTTCAATTCTTGTTCCATATCTGGGTCTAATCTGTTCATTCGTTCTTGCAATTCAGAGTAAGATAAATTTTTCAACTAAAGAAATCATAAAGAAAAACAAGTTTTAATATAGGCTATAAATAAGATAGGAATAAAAATATTACGAAATCGTAGTCTTCGTCAAAAGGTCTAAAGGCTGGAGCTGCTGCCGGCGCTGCTGCTGCAGCAGCGGCTTGTGAAGCTTGGACAGGTGCTGCCGCAACTACATTGGATGCAGGAGAAGCTTCTTTCACAACAGTCTCACTCGGTTTTTCTTTCACAGAAATTCCTTTATTAAAATGAGCTAGATACTGAGGTTGATAATTTTTACTGCTACCGGTTTTATCATCATTTTCTGTGCGAATAAATAAAGAAGAATGTATAAGATATTTAAAAACAATCGTTTCTACGAAAGGAGTAATTATTATAGATTATGATAAAAAACAGCTAAAACAGAATGTCTAGTACGAAGAGTAAAGGAAAGAAAAATAGATACTTTTCATAGTACTATCGTCCTCCTCCGAGTCGCTATTTATAATCATTGTACCAGCAGCTGACTCTAATTCGACCATTGTGTCACTTTGCGATACCATTGTATCATTATCGGCGTCTTGTGGAACGATAGTCCCTGTAAGATAAAAAATAAGAGAGATTAGTTGAAATGTATACTATTAGAGAATAAGCGAATGGATTATTGATGGAAAAAGAAATTTGCCTGAATTTTCCGTTACTTTAACCATAGTTCCTTCTTCTGGTTCCTACATAGAATAACAATGAGTTAATAAAGAAAGAGAGCTTATAAGAAAGATGAAATATATACAAGTATATATTCTATTTAAGAGACTCACTTCTGTAACATCAATTGGATTGGTCGCTACGTTCTCCTCGTGCCTTTCTAAAATGTCTTTAGCCTCTTGAATGATCTTCTCCATACACGAAGCTGGACCAGCTTTGGTTTTAATGAATTCATGCTAAAGATTCGACAGTATGATAAATAGAATAAATAATATTTTAAAAGCGGAAAGAAACCTCTAATAGTTCATTTGCTGTCGCCCTGTCTTCTGGTCTTTTAACTAGGCATCTATTTAGTTGTTTATATAATGTTAGTATTAAACATACACAAAACACGCATAATATAGATCTACTTACTTTAGAACAAAGTCTATAAACTCTTGACTCCATTTATCCGGTTCACGAAATGACGGCGGTGGTTTCGTAGGAATCATAAATATGGCTCTCATAGGATGTATATCTCCGTACGGAGGTTTTCCTTCCGCCATTTCAAGAGCTGTAATACCAAGACTCCATATATCGGCACCACAATCGTATCCTATTTCCTGAATAACCTCTGGAGCCATCCAATAAGGAGTACCAATAACAGTGTTCCTTTTAGCCATGGTATCCTATTTTTTGTTTGTTTTTAATAATAAATTTGTATCATAATTTCATAAATAAACTAGATTAAATTAATAATAGAAATAATAATAGCAATAGTATTAATATAAAAGAATAAAAAAAAATAAGAGACTCAGAAATTAGGACAATCAAATAATTTAAAAAATATAGAATAACATAAATAAAAAATAATAATCTATTACCGTTAATTGACCAGCCACACCGAAATCGGCCAATTTTGCTTGGCCTTCATTGTTTAAAAGTATATTTCCTGCTTTAATATCTCGATGAATTTTCCGTCTTTCGTGTAAATATTGCAACCCTTTAAGGGTATAGGATAAAATTGTAGCAATTTCTGTTTCTTTTAGCTATATAACAAGTTTTTATTATTAGATTCATTAACCAAAGGAAAGAGAATGTTTGAAGAGGAATAGTATATTTATTTATATATATATGTATATATATATATTACCGTTTTGGCTCGGGTTCTCATCAAATCAGAGACTGAACCAGCACCGCAGTATTCCATAACAATCTGCAAAGATAGTAGGTTAGACTATAGATCCTATTAGAATTACCTAATATTTTCAATCGTTATACCCATAAATCAGTATTCTTGAAATAAGATCCATAGTACTTAACGATAAAAGGGCTATCGCATTGTTGCATGATAGATATTTCTTTAATGATTTCTGCAAGATCTGTGTCAACAGGAACTTGTTTTATGGCCAGTATTTGACCGGATTGTATGTGCTCTGCTTTGTAGACGCTTCCATACGACCTATAAATTAGGATACGTAATTGTGGGTGTTGATTAACAACAATGCTATTTAAATAAACTAACCCTCTGCCAATTTTACATAATAGATTAAATACTTTATCGGGTTCGCTTCCCAAGTCCTCATCGTTTAATTTGGTCAATTCGCTGTAGAAATTCGTTTTCTTATTAAAAAACGTGCTTTAAACTAAAAAATATGGACTAACCTTCCACCTGGCATATTACTCTATACTTCTATCATCACCCTAAGATTAATATTCGTCAATAAGTGGTTATTTAAGGTCTAAATTAGGCCGATGAATTGATTTCTAGCTGCTTTAGTCAAAAATTGAAGGAAACGGGTAGTTAGAGTTTATTTTTTTGCACTCGATGAATCATGATTTATCGCTCAGGTTTACAGCGCCATCCAACGCCTAACGTAGTTTGATTTGTTGGCTTATCCTTTGATAAATTTGTAACTTGAATAGATCTTTATATATATTACACAATTGCAAAATGTAAGCAAACATTGGATTATCTAATTGCAATTTATAACATTCAGAATACTCATAGCGATCTATTTGATTTAGTAATTTTTTACTCTTAAATTACTCGTTATCGTTCACCTGAAAGATGACAACCCGTCATTCTCAAGTTCATTTTGCTGATAAAACTTTGGCAGGGGTTCCAAAATTATTGGATGATTTGCAGAAAGTTATTACGGCAAAAGAAATGTCGGATTTAGTATTTTTAATAGGAATTGAACAGGTTCAATTCTATTCTCATAGCTTTATAGTGTGGGCAAGGTAAACCATAGCTACTCTATTAACTATTTTGTTTTCACTACTTGTTACATAATAAGAATCCTCTTTTATCTTTCTCTAGATGCCCTAAATTGAGATTACCGGTTTTTTCAAGTTGTTCAAGGCAGCACCCTCTATTTTTAAAGTATCCCAACTTTCAACCTACAGTCTTTACTGATGTACTACTCTACCTCTATACTGGAAAAATTATATTAAATGATCTAACCGTCTTTCCACTTTTAAACATTGCCACCCAATTTGGTCTTGAAGAGTTAGAGGAGGCCTGCGAAAATCATGTACATTCCTCCTTAAATGTTGAAAATGCTTGTGCTTTCCTAACATCCTCCTTACATTTGGAAGAAGAATGCCAAGATCTTTCCAGAATTTGTCAATCATTTATCGAACAACGCGCCGAAGCTTGTGTTTATACAGAAGGTTTGTATGTTTAAACACCATCCCTTTTTCTTCTTTCTTTCCTCTGTCGTCTCCTGTTAATTAACCATTAAATGGTCTATTTTTTAGGTTGGTTGGAGTTACCTAAAGAGGTTCTTCGTCGTATTATTCAAAGTGAGAACCTCTGCCTAGAGGAGGAGGATGTTTGGAGGTCTGTTCTAAATTGGGGCAAATTTCGAGCCGGTGTCCCAATGGAGAAAACAATATCCTCTTGGACTCTACAAGAAAAGAATTTTGTTAAAGAAGCCTTACAAGGAATATTAGAGCATGTCAAATTTCTTCTCATAGATGGTAAAGTATTCGCAGAGGAAGTAGAGCCGACTGGAGTTGTTCCCGTTTCTCTTGCATTGGAGAGGTATCGTCTAAGCGCGCTTCCCCAAACCACAAAATCTATTCAAGATCCGAGAACTCAACCAAGAGCCTGTTTAAAATTATTCCAAAACACAAAAATCCTTAGTGGATCCAATAGGGTTCATCTACAAAGACTAATTAACGGTTGGATTGGGGAACAAAAACAAAAATGGAAACTTGTCTTTAGAGCTAGTCGTGACGGATTTAGAGCGTCAGATTTTCATCGAGTATGTGACGGATATGCTCCAACATGCGTAATTATACAGGTAAGAAAGATAGTTTACGTTTCTTGTTGATAAAACTATCAAAATCTTTGCTCCTTATATAGAGCTCATCAGGATGCGTGTCTGGAGGATTTAGCGATGTTGCTTGGACAAGTAAAACGCCGGAAAAAGGAAGATATATCTCATCAAATAGAGCGTTTCTCTTTACGTTAATTAATCAACAGGGAGTCACTCCTAGAAAATTTCATATTACGAGGTCAAATTTTGCAACGTTACATCATCCCCATTACGGACCTATATTTGGCGCAGGCGCGGACCTAAGTATCTCTTCAAATTGTAATCAAAATATGGATAGTTATAGCAATATGCCTCATTCGTTTGGAGGACCTGGAGCAAATTCAACAATTCTAATGGGAAACTACAACTTTTGTATTGAAGATTATGAAGTTTTCACGCCAATGACAGCGGTAGTGACAAACTTGTGAACAATTTAGAAAGAGATTATACGAAAATGACTGGTTTTGCATTTTTCTGTTATTTCAAAAAGAGAGAAAGAGAGAGAGAGAGAGAGAGAGATAAAGGAAAAAGAGAAACTGTATGTCTATATATATATATATATATATTCTGTATATGGTTTATAAATACATATTTTTGATTGTATCAATGTATATTATTAGGTGGCGTGATAATAGTCGAATCCGGCGTTATCTGATACATTGGAGATCTCTAAATGTACATTTGCTTTATTATTAATAATAATAAAGAAACAAGTATTTAAGTATGACATGACGACCGGAAATATAATATTAATAGGAAAAAAGACAGCGTATTTCTTCCAAGGTTTTTAGAGTTTAAAATATCTTTACACAATATTTAATAATAGTATTAGTGGTAAATCGAATCTATCTTTCTTAAGGAAGTACCACCTTTCTATTCTTCAGATGAGCTTTAATTATTTCTCCGTATTCATTTCTTCCAAGTAATTCATAGGCTAAAGGCAGTACGTTGAGAATCTGAGAATGAAATATATCTGATCCGTACGAAAATAGATCTATGCCCAACTCTAAGCCTTGACCGTAGTCGCACTCATCATTCGCAAACTGTACACACATAATTGTTTCCATGAGAGGATCGAACGCTTTATTTCTTTCGGCTCCTTCCTCAGAACTTTCAATCTTCTTCAATATTTTCTTTAGTTCACCTTAATATTTTTAATAGTTTTAAAAATATTTCTTTAGACTTTTCTATAAGTAGGTTGTATTAAAATAGTTTGTCTTACCTGGAGTATCGGGTAAAGGCCTATATCCAATATCATTATCATCTACAGGTACACAGATACCAGCGCCGTGAAACGTTTTGCTGTTGACTAATTTATCTCTCTTTTTCATTTTTGGAGTTTTAACGTCGAGAGAATACGAGAGTTTCTTGGCATACTCCCCTAAATCGGTCAGAATCTTTATAGCGTGGGTCTTTTTTATAGGGTTTTCTTTAACGAAACCGTCGATATAGCATCTGAGATGATTAAAAATAAAATAGAATGAAAAAAAAAAACCAATTAGAAGAAGGCGAAGAAAAAACATAGAAACAATCCCAATAGAGATTGCGTTCCATTCTCTTACTTTATGGCTGCAAATAGATTTTCTCCTTTAGGTTTAATTTGACACGAATTTTTGGCTTCGTTGAAAGCCACAAAGTCCGGCATATTTTCAGGATCATCCCTTAAAATAATAAAATAAATGTTTTGTTTGTTTATATATATATATATATATATATTGTATTTACCTGAAATATCCAATGTGAAATTGAGCTCTTTTATCGCCCTGAACAACAGTTAAAAATTCGGGTGGATCGTAGTAATAGCGCCAATAAGTAAGATAACATGTTTTCTTAGAATGTCTCTTGTACTGACCACTTAGAAATTCAAATGGTCCAACAAGCGTTAAATTAATTGAATTTAAAGCGTCTAAATGATGTAAATATACAAATAATTATTAACTTTCTATCGATTCTATAATTATAAATGACCGTACCGCAAGGATTTTTCGAGTTAACTGATTTAGCAAATTCGTAGAAATCAAAGAAATCCTTTGGCATAGCTACCTTGTACTTCAATTTAATTACATTTGATATATCTGTCGAGTCTAGTTTATCATCATCTAAAATTTATACAAACATTACTTTATATTTGCGCAATATGCTGACTGAAGCATATATTCTATCTACCTTCTACTGTTTCGCTTTCCGATTGCTTCTCTTCTTCAGATTCATTGTTAGGTTCAGGAGAATTTTTATCAAGCTCAATTTCTGGATCGGTTATTTTGTTTTCTTCTACTTTTGCTTTTTTGGCTTTAGGCTGTGGTAATTAAAGAAATCGGCGATAATAAACTAGTTTTACAATTATAGTATTATATTCCTCGGATCGTAAAAATACCTCATCGAGATGGGGATGATTAAACTCTTTAAAGTGTTCCGGATTTTTTCTGTAGCATTTCTTACCGTAGGGACAATCGGATACGTTACATGCCATTTAAGCGCGTTATTCCAATAATTTGTTTGTTGCCAAAAAGTCGTTCTAAATATAAAACATAAAAGGCAGTGTCCATAAAATGGCGGGTGTTCAATAATCGCAAAACTATCCATTTTTTGAAGTCTATTAACTAAAAATAAAGATAAATTACGAAAAGAGAATTTTATTCAGTTTCTAGTTGGTAAATCTGATAATAAATCGGCTATTAGGTTTAATTGACAAGATCGTAAAGCAGTTATAAGTTGTTGAACAGGAGAAATGTCTACAGTTGATGGTCTTCTTTCGTACCAGGTTAAAATTGATTGTCGACAACATTCACGACTATTTCGAGTAAAATTATCTGTAATGTAATCTATATCAGCATCTGATAATTGGAGTTTTCTCGCAAAACGCTTCCAATCTCTACCAATTTCTGAAACAATTAGCTCTATTTCTCTCTCAATTTCCACTATTTTCCCTTTCGACGCCACTTCTTGTTTATAGCTTGAAGAGGGTGCTGAATGTTGGCAATTGGTGTACGTCTTATTGTCATAGGCTTCTATAATTTGTAATAAATCTGATCTGCCTGTTGACTTGATCAAATCTGTTAATATTTGTGTGTTATCTGGAGAAAGATCCGCTCTTTCTTGGAGGAGAACCCACAATTGCAAAGGGGTATCTACTTGCTCTAGTCGTCCAGCAGGTATAACTTTCTGACAACAGAATTTTATACTCTCGAAATCTTCTTTTCGAAGTTTTCTCGATAGATCTACTAGCATTAAGTTAAATGGTTCCATTTAGGTATTGCTCCCAGGTATATCGATCAGAATTACCGGAAATCAAGAACATAGTCCACAAATCGGAAATGATTTTAGCATAACCTTGACATTGATTTTAAAAGGAGAAATGTTCTCGGCGGGAGTGAAGGGAGGGGAGGGGAGGGGAAAAGAAATAAGAAACTTTGGTTAGGATAAAAGGTGTTAATGGACAAATAAATATAGAGTCCAGAAACTAAACTGTAACTATATATATCTGTATATGTATACTTTAGAGTATACAGTAGATATATATATATATATATATATATATATATAAATGTAGAAAATGGTTAATTGATAAATAAATACATAGCCGCCGGGAAAAAGTAGGGTGTATAGGATTTCTTTCCATATACTGATGTACAATTACTTAGAGACTTTTATTTATCTGCTATTAATATACTGTACACATATAAAAGAAGTAAAGAATAAAACTTGAGATAAACCGTTTATATTAGGATTCTATTTTAATAATGTTAATCTTTTATGCAGCGTTATTAATAGAAACAAGAAGAAGAAGAAGAAAAAGAAGAAGGAGAAGGAGAAAAAAAATATAGTTATTAGGTTCGATCTGAAAGTAATCTACATTTTGTATTTTTATTTATAGTAGTTAACTTATTTAATAATTTTTTTTTATATTATAGCCTATAGTCTACTCTAGAAAAATTAACTATTCTATTCCTTAATAGTCCCTCCCCCTCGTTGTTTATACATGTCTGCCATTAGGATGAAAGTAGATCTATCCTGTTCTGATAAAAGGAGGATGGTTTTCTCCTCAAAATATCTCTGATGTCTTTTTTTAGCTCATCCAAATTTTCGTAATCAACTCCCCTTATATGATCTTTCAGTTGTCCAAACAGGTAAAAATCAGATGGGGGCCAAATCAGAGCTGTATGGGGGATATGGACAGACAGACCATCCCTGATTTCTGATAAAATCTGTTGTGTACAAACTGATATGGGGTCTGGCATTATCATGCTGTAAAATAATCTGTTTTCCAGCCCTTATCCTATTTAGTCTCCTCCTTAGCCTCTTTAGGGTCTCCACATACTGAATGGAGTTGACTGTTTCATCATAATCCATAGATTCAACATGATTAATCCTGAACAGTCCCAGAAAACTGTACATATTAGTTTTTCAGATGATTTAGTCATTTTTAGCTTTTTTTCAGGTGGAGATGATGTGTGTTTGTAGGTTAGGGAAGCCCTCTTTGATTCAGGATCTTAAAGATGAACCCAAGATTCATCTCCAGTTACTATTTTTTCTAAAAATGCTTCTTTTTCTGCCATCTATCTACCCTTACCTCTTTTTGATCCTGATTAAGATCATAGGGGATCCATTTAGCACCAAGTTTTCTCTACCCCAGCTTCTTAATTATCTTCCCAACATCCTCTTAACCAATATCTAATTTTTTGGCAATTGCTCTTTGAGATGTGGTTCGATCTTCCCTGATAAGCCTGTCAACTGATTCTTTATTTTGATCTGTTACAGCTGTTTTTGGACGACCAGATCTCGGCAAGTCTTTAGGATTTTTTCTTCCTTTTTTTATTTTAATAGTCCACCTTCTTACTGAACTAAGGTTCTCAGAGTTTCATCCCCAAAATAGCTTTTTAACCTTGTGTGAATCTTCTTTGAATAGGCCTTCTCATGGACTAAGAATGCAATAATTTTTCGCTGATCGGAACATGTAGACATGACTTGCTGTTGCTTGCACTGAAATAATTTTGTAATGGCTTGACAGAATCGAATGAAAGTTTTCACAATGAAAATAAATAAGAGAATACTACTAAATTGATAATCTTAGGGTAGGGATGGAAAAGTGTAAAGAGGAAGAGATAGGCAAAGATAGAGGCAGAGAAGAATTGTGTACGTTATAGCTAGATGGATGGAATTTATCTTTCTTTATAAATAGTAAATAAAGAGAAATAATCAATAAAAGATGGAAAATATGACAAATTGAAAACACAAAAGGAATGTAGTGCAGTATAGTTACAAATATTTTTGTTATTATTAGACGATATATTATTATTAAACAATTTAAAATGGAGTATATAAGTGGAAAGTGGATGATAAATGAAATTATTATCTATAGATTAAAATAGACTGTACTAAAGAGAGTTTACTGTTCTCTATTTGGCCTATTTTGTGAATAATATTTTCTTTTCATAATAATTTAATGAGTAAAAGTAAAAGGGGAAGAACCTTGGGAGATAAAGTGTAATATTTATTATATATATATACTAATAAATATAAATTTATATATATATATATATATAAATCCAATTAAGAGTGCACTATAAATACATATACTGCATATGATATATTCGTTTGCATTTCATACAGACAAACGTAAGAGGCAAAGAACAAAGCGAAAGAAAATACAAGAAAGAAATTACATACACTGTTAAGATACTCTATATAGTTTTTCAATACTAAAAGGAAAAATGATTGAGTAGCTTATTAAAAGAGAGTAAACAGATATGAATGACAATAGCTTGGAAACAATCGAGTTAAATGAATTTTATATATGTATTGTATATTTAGTATAATAATAATGTTTTATTACTAAAAATTAATAACTTGCTTTAATGAAAGCACGGCTGCATTTTTTCAGTTACGTTTGTTACCTGCAAAAAAATACATTTATAAACCTTTTTTCTGACATAAAAATACTAATTTTACAGTTTTGCAGTTTTTTTGTTTCTTAGATACGTATATCCGGATATTACAAAGAAAGAAATACTAGATTTGTTCCTACCAGGAAGGTAGTAGTCCTTTACTTTTCACTTTGCCTCAATTGCTAATTGTTAATTAAATGTGTAAAAATCCCAAAGGTTGTTGCCTTGTTAGAAGTTACAGGAAAGGACTGAGAAGGGAATAACTTCCTTCTCAACGCTAATAATAATTGTCTTTTTTTTAAAATAGAATTACTGTGAAAATTATATCCATAAAGAGAGCAGGAGAGACAGAGAAAGACAGAGAGAGAGAGAGAGAGAAACAGAACGGCGAGTAGACAGACATTATAGATAGGAAGCAAACTATGAAGATTAATCCTCTTTCTGGCTAGTTTCATTGAATATCGTTATTGTTAAAGACTTATAAACAAATTTTCCGGGCAGTTTCTAGTAGTTCAACCGGTAATTATTAGTTACGTAAAAGGCATCATCGAGATGGCTTTTTTTTTAAACTACAAGTAAAGAGAATCAGATAGAAACGAAGAGCTAATTATTATTAAGGAAAGAACAGGTGTAACATTTACTTTTCCCCCTTAAAAATAAAAAAAAAGAGAAGCCAGAGGGAGTAAAAATTTCGCGCGTATTCGTGTCTATATGTTTCTTACCAACTGAATATCAACTATTTCATTCATCTATATATTCTAAATGCAATTAAATACACTGCAGGTATTTCAAGACTCGTCAAAAGAAAGTTAATTCACATCATTTACACTAACCCGTGGATCATATACATATATATATAAAATTCATGCTACTGGAAAATATTTCTGCCGAGTATATGTTACATTAAAATATAAACTGCATATGGAATGTAATCTATCTTCCATTAGATTGCTGTATACTGAAAAAGAGAAGGCTTTAATTCTATTGCTGGAGAAACATGAAGTAAAAAACAACCTATTATGATATAAAACGGAAAGAGACAAAGATTGGAGATAGGTATGGATGGATAGATTGACAGATAGGCTGATAGGAAGAGGGAGTGAGAGAGAGGAGAAAATGAGTGACTGAGTGAGTGAGGGAGGGAGGATGTGTCTGTATGCATTTCTATGTTCAAACACCAAGACGAAAAAGAAAATTGTTAAATGAAAAGAGAAGAATGAAAGAAACGATTTAAAAATAAAGGATATACAGTTTATATTGACTATAGCGATTTATTCTTCGATTATTTCGCATGGTTTATACTTAAAAAGAAGAAAACCGATTCAAAGAAACTACTTTGATTTTATCCTTGCCTTTAAGCCTTTTAACTTCCAATTAGATTATTGAGGAATTGAGAGAAATAAAAAAAATAGGATATTGGTTGATGAGTCGATTAATGATTACTTTTGAACTGTAAAACGTATATAAAACAAATAAAAAGACAAAACTTTAAAGGTAAAGATGTATAGATCGAATATCAACACCTTAATAATCAATGCTTAAAGGATACTCTCTCTATTACCTTGTCTCTTTAATTTTTTTTTAGTATATTTTAACTAATTGAAGTTTGCGTAAGCTTAAAAATCTTTAATCGTTGAATAATTAGGGATTTTACAAGCATATTTAGTTAAAAATTATAATAGGCGTAATAATCTTTCAATGTTAAATCTTCACAGTTCTCTATTTTTACATATTTCTCTTTCTTCCTCTTTCTGGTTTTTAGCGCGCTCTCTCTCTCTCTCTTTCCTTTCTTTACGGTTCCTTCTATCGAATAAAGAAACAATAGAGTATATTATTCCGGTGCTTTTCACTTGAACAATTTAAAACGAACAGGTGAACATTTATCCGTGCTAATAAACTCTTATAGAATATAACTAATAATCAATTTCAATAATATAATGATATTGGACAATGATAAATCATCAGTAAGATGAAGGTGCTCGGCAACGTTGTTTCTGGTCTAATACGTATGAAGAAGAAGAAGAAGAGAGAGAGTAAGAATTACTTTTGAGCCTGAAGCTTTCTTTTATTTCTTCTTTTGCTCTTTTTGTTTAGAAAAGAAATAAAAAGTTTTACGTTTACCCGATTTGTACTACTTAAAAGTAGATTTTTACTCAATATCGCTGGGGCGAGAAAGCTTGTTTAGAAAAGGCGTCTCTTTTGCTACCTGAAGAAAGAGACGGTTTATATGTTCTGATAACTATTATGTAGAATTAGAAAATTTCGGAATGCTAGTAGAATGACTGTGATGTAAAGGTTTTTTCACTTTCCAAGGCCGTTTTTTGTGCTACGACTTTGAAGTCGTTTGTAGATTTCCAATTCATTTTAAGCACTTATACAATGGGTACACTAACGCTTAGAAAGAC